TTAGTACGCGTATTTTCCAAGGATTTTTACAACAACAGGTTCAAATGGTGGAGTTTTTACAGGGGACTGCAGGCAAGGTGCTGGCCCTAAAAACCAAGTTCTATTAACAAAACTACAGCAATTTATCTAAGAAATTGAGGAGGCTGCATGAATTGTTTTAGACAGAAATTTTTTTTCTTATGAATACTTAGTCTATTAAAACGGCTAATTGTACCGTCATAAGAAAATTGACGGATTAAAAACTGTACATGTGTAAAGATAGACCTCTTATTTCGTCCAACATCTTTGCAAATGAGGTGCCACAATTAAGGTCAAATGTTCCACTCAAATGTCTGCCATTTCATAACGCGAGTTAGCAACTCTTGAATCGCGGTATAATCAGACATCTTTACCTGCTTTATGTGGAATAAGGCTAACATAGTGAAGCTCGAACACGTGACCCAGCACAAGCCGGTTGCTACCAGCAACATCATACTCTGGGCAGATCATTACATCATGGCGATGCTGCAGGCTGCTGATCACGTTGATGCACGTTTGAAAACAGTTTGCCGCGCCGTGTAGAATCACGTGATCACCCCATGTACCATCTGCCATCATACTTGTGAGGTAGGCATCCCAAGATGGATATCCATCAACAAAATGAAACAGTTCTGTCCCATCCGGCTGTAAGAAAGAAAGAAAATACTGTAGTTAATAGAGAAAATGTAGAGTACTTTTGTAGAAGGTATTTATTTAGACAGCCACGAAGTCTGTTCTCTCTAAGGCCGACCCCGCTGGTATCAGCACTAGTATGGTGTACACTCTTTTAGGAGTATCCCTATTAAAGTATTAAAGCAGAGATTTGTTCACTTTGGTAGTATAGGACGAGCCCGGTAGACGTCTTTTTTAAAGGGAAATAAATTAACGCCGATGACGTCTTTATCTCCTTTGCGCGCCAAGAATCAGTGAACCGGAATCAGAACAATAAAGCTATGATCATACTATACCAGATACGCTTTGGTAACGACACGAAAAGCCATCCGGTATAGTGTGAACATCTATCCGATATGTGACTCTCCACTTAAGAGATCGGCGCGGCACAGCTTCTCTCCGTTTAACAGAAATCGCGCCGAAATCACCGCTCTTGTGTGTGAACTGAAACCCCATCCGGTATGATTCTCGTGCCCGTCAAAAAACTATACGGTATAGTGTGAAGACAGATTAAGTTGTCTGCAATGGACAATGAAGGCGTCATGGTTCAGAGGTGTCTTCATGACCAAATAAAAACATGACGCACATAATTAAGAATGATCTACGACATCATTCTCACAAAATAAGGACAAGATCCCAACAAGTTACATCATCAATATAAGAATAATTGCATACACTAAATACTACATAAAAATAGCTCGTGACGTTATCTTGAAGAGATTCCACCGCATTTTTTTGCTGAGATAAAGATGTCATGTCATCGACGTTAATTTATCCCACTTCACAGTAATAAGATTCCACTACAAAAAGGGGTCTAATTAACCTGTGTGACCTATACTACTCTCCTTAAGAATGTCAAAAAAAAAAAACAACAGTTAAGAACGGCAGGGACCAACACTTTTAGGGAGGTGGAGTAGGTTTATGAGGTTTTAGGGAGGTGTCCGTTACACGTGTAAGAGAGAGAGAGAGAGAGAGAGAGAGAGAGAGGAGGGAAGGGATGTTTACTGTTACAATAATGTGAGTTTGGAAATTGCGACTTTTAAACCAGTATGTAGTCATATCCTGTTCACACAAAACTTGTGTTGGTCGACATTTAAAGTTTAGCAATATACCGTACGGTTAAAAAATAAAATAGGACATGAGCATGACGATCGAGCAGACAAAAACACATAAAAAAATTTCTCCGTATCCATTTATGCCTCCGACACGAAAAGTAACTTGCGAAAAGAATGTGCATTCTCTCAAACTTTATCGCGCTTATTTAGCCATGCTTAATTTAACATAAGTCGACGCATTTTCTTAGATTTGAGTTCTTAATGACTGTATCCCAGCCCGAAAATAATAGTTCACTGTGGGGGGTTCGGTGCCCTACACAAAACGTCGCATACGGACGTTTTGCGTCGCAGTCGTGCAGTGAACGACGATGCAAAGTACAAACAAGCGTGATGCTCATGCAGAGCAGATGTTTTGCTCATAAAAGGTGGATTCATTTGCATCATACCCGTAAAGCCGTCACATTCAATCGTAGCAATTTGAGGCCCCGTCCACACGTATCCGGATATATATTTTTTTTAAATCGGAGATTTATTTGTCCATGTTAGCCTTCCGTCCACACGTGATCGGCATTTTCGGGCGCCGAAGAAGCAGGTTTTCACAAATGTTCCCAAGAGTGGAGATTTTAGAAAAGGACCTGCGGATGGACGAATACAGAGGACTTAGAATACAACATTGCTCTGTAAATGGATGCTATTCCTATTTCAATCATTTTAGCGTTTTTATGTGGACGGGAGAAAAAGATTCAAATACGCTTCGTGTGGACGCGTATTTCGGATACGTGTGGACAGGGCCTTATTGTTTTTAACTTTAAGAGGAATTAAAACAATGTAGCGGGCAAATGCCACGGTTATGCTCGTATACTGTAAATGTGTGCACCCTAATAAGGTAATAAGATACTTACCAGCCTGGGGTTTTCCCGAAGGTGTTGTACAACAGTTCGGCGTAACTCATCATGGGAGATTTGAATTCCTTTGATGTGGTCAAGCTGCTCTGAAAGTGCAAAAAACATGCAGTTTCCCTCTCCTTGATTGTCAGATATCGCAAAACCTTTTTCCAACGCAGTCCTCTTTAAAGCTTCCGAAAGCTCAGTTTTGCTGGACTCTATGCGTGCTTCCCGCAGGATTTGTTGAAGTGTACGGAAAATGAGTTCACCTGAAAGCAGAAGATGAAAAAGAAATATTAAGATAGAGGTTATTTCACGCCAGTTTTATAGGAGATGATGATAATGATAATGACAATGATAAAGAGTTTGTATAGTGCTACAACCCCGGACAAAACCTGTTGAGACAAATCGCGAAAATGCCTATTTTTTCCTGTCATCCCGGCAAAAACTGAAACCGCCGCCAAATGAATGCCCGATTTCCCCCCTCCCCTTATCCAAAGTTGTTTAGGATAGCATGGCAATTATACACGTTGGTTTTTAGACCAAGGCAACTTTGAATAGGGGGTGGGGAGGGGGTTTACTTTTTGTGTTTAGGGGAGACGGGAGTAGGGCGCAAAAGTTAGAAAATAGATGGAATTGTCTCAACAGTTTTGTCCGGGGTTGTCTGTGAAGGCCAGTTGTTCAAATCGCTGTAACTTCGCGATGTAAGGTCGGAGGGTATTGATTTTTTGCACAGATGTTGCACTTGTCTAAAGCTTTGTGACTACGAGAGAAGGTGTCATAAAAACAATTAGGACGCATTAATTATGCACTTAGAAATTTAGCCATAAACTAGAAACCTTATACCTAAATGAGAAAGAAATCATGCTCTTTACAGAAAAAGTATTGAAATTAATTGTGGTTGGTGGCCACGGTTAAGGAGTTACTGTGTGTCACAAATATGATATCTTAATAGGAGCCTTACCTCCGGCCTCTTTACCAACGTTAATTGTGCTTACATGTCGAATACATTAGATAAGACTGGGTATTTATTATATTTGCGCAGCACAACTGTCCTGTTCAAAAATAATAGTGCGTGGTGTGCAGGTCATGCACGAGGACTCAAGAATGCGGCGGAGCAGTTAAAAATAACCCTTAGAGGTAGTGATACTTAGTTGCAGTGACAACTTTCTCCATGTAGTTAAAGTAGAACTGGAAAAGTAAGCTTCACCGAGTTAACAATACCCGCGTTTACTGAGTGTGTAATTAGAACAATTTACAACATATATACCAGATTATCTACTTGACAAAATAATGGAATCCATGCCGATAAAACCGTTAATTCTTCTATGACAACCAAGGCCAAAAGAACAAATATTAATGAAGAAATTCCAAAATGGGTAGAAATAGGATGTGTAGAGAAAGCAATGCCTCTTTGATCACAAATACAGCGAAAACATGTTGTCACACGATGGCAGTTCTTTTGTGGCAAAAAACAGCGCACTTCATGACAATTACACCAGTGTCAAAAAGTTTTCCCTTAAGTAAAAAGGTCTTTTTAATGCTTGAAAATCAACAAAAAGGTTCTATATACTACGGAAAATGCTTGAAAGCACCGTAAACGCTTGAAATAAACGATTAACAGGCACGCACATGTTTATTCCAACGGTTAACAGCGGTTAACAGAATATATTAAAGGAAACTGATAGTCTAACTGTTGTTTTTCTTCAGAAAAGTTGTTAACCGTTGTTAACCGTCGTTAACCGATGTTTCTTTCCTCTGCGGTACTTTATTCGTTAAGTTAACCGTCTGCGAGAAAAACTACTCCGTTTTTGTTGCATAGCAAGCTCATTGAAGCACCTTACACATCAAGGGATTTCCCGTTATTGTTCCCGCGGGATCTGCGTGGAGAAATGAGAGATCCATCATACCACATTCCCGTTCGTACACAATTCCACATTTGCTGTAACTGAGGCAATGTTGTCCTATTAAGTGTAGGATCTTTGCACTACACTTGGCGAACGACGTAATCACTGCTAAGGCAAATTACTCGCGGGATGGAAAAATGAGCCAAATTGGCGTGACTGTAAGTGACCAGATAAGCGCACTAACCTTCCTCTCACCTAGTGATTCATGCGATATTTCTGAGCCTCCTGAAAATGACTCGTCACTATCGGAAGTTCTCGAGAGATCCATTTTGTCTGGCGATTACATATCAATGTCATCATTTGAGCAGGCAAAGCGTCTACGGACACGTAAGCCGTTGAAAGTCATGCCCATGGTAACGTCACAGAGTAAATGTCATTTGACAGATCATGTAATCAGAGTGTTATAACTTCAATTTTTACTGTAAAAATTTTATTTCGCATTCAAAAGAAAAAAAAAGTATGCTGACACAATGGCTTCTATCAATTTGACCAAAAGAGAGGACTATAACTTGAGGTAATTGCTATGAAAGTTAAAGAATACCGAAAACAGTCCGCAGACAACCCCGGACAAAACCTGTTGAGACAAATCGCGAAAATGCCTATTTTTTCCTGTCATCCCGGCAAAAACTGAAACCGCCGCCAAATGAATGCCCGATTTCCCCCCTCCCCTTATCCAAAGTTGTTTAGGATAGCATGGCAATTATACACGTTGGTTTTTAGACCAAGGCAACTTTGAATAGGGGGTGGGGAGGGGGTTTACTTTTTGTGTTTAAGGGAGACGGGAGTAGGGCGCAAAAGTTAGAAAATAGATGGAATTGTCTCAACAGTTTTGTCCGGGGTTGTAGAACTATAAAATATTCAAAAGCGCTTAACATTAAGTTACAATTAAAACAATTCCTAAAAGCTAATAATAACAACAACAATAGCAAAAAAATTCCATGCTATGCGAAAATCGAAAAAGTTTAAAATTCTATACAAAATTAAAATTAAAATATTCAAAGCACTAAACTTCAAAGTTATTCTAGTAAATTATAAGCTTTCCTAAAAAGAAATGTTTTAAGATGCTTTTTAAAAATGGCGAGGCTCCTACTTGTTCTTTTAGTTAATGGCAGCGAGTTCCATAAGACAGGTGCAGCACAGTGCACTGGTCTGAAGCTTACAACAATCGACAATTTCAGAAAAGCTACTGTAGTTTTAAAAGGACAAAGTAACTTCACTCTACTGCAAAAATATATTTTGGCTTTGGTTTAATTGGCAAAGCAAACAATGACATCACCTGCCATCGGTCCTGTTGCAGCATCTTTTTCAAAACCAATTTGTGGAACGCCATCTTCTTGGGTTTTTTCGACACCTGTAAAGTTTAAATTAGCAGTGAATTTAAATGGTTTGGCCTGTAAGCGGGAGAGGGAAACAGTTAGTTTACGTTAGTTTACTCGGAGATGCTACACTAAACATTGAAAAGCTAAAAGCATCCGAATAATCGAAAGCACCCCTGTTCAACAGAAGAAAATAACCGCACTCTACTGCACAATAAATTTTGTCTTTGCTTTAATTGACAAAGCAAACAATTACATTACCTGCCATCGGTCCTGTTGCAGCAACTTTTCCACAGTCGCTCGGTGGAACGTCACCTTCGTTGGTTTTTTCAAGACCTGAAAATTAAAAATTGTTGATTATAACAAAAAAAAGTCACTCTTAAAAAAAGGAAGATTCCAACCCTAAAAGCCCTCCATTCATTTTTTGTTATAAGTTATAGCCAAAAGTTCGGCTGGGCTTTTTTTGTTACTTTCTTTTTATATACAAGAGAACCCCACCATTGCTGCTGCAGATGAATAGAAATCAGATGACTTTGATGTATCGCAATGTTATAGATTTTAATTTTCTTTTGTCGTTAACTCCTTCAAGTGTAGCCAACATTTTATAAAATTATACATAAAAGTTTTAAAGAATGGAATTGATAAGCCGGTAAAAAAGATCTTGATTATTAAACAAATTCTCCTCATCAGTAACACAAGATATGTATGGAGAACAGTGTGGAGAGTGTGAATGCCAACATTAAGGTTAAAAAGGCAAACGACAATAGCGATGCACATGGACCACGAAACATAATGTAGTAAAAATGTATTTATGCACTCGCTATTGCAGAGGCCATAGACATGCAGCGATGAATGACGAAGGTCAAATGAAGGATGATTCTGGTAAGATATGCATTTTAACATTTTCAAGTATACTAATTATTATTATTATCGTTACTTTCCTATCGGTAAATTTGATTTCTTACCATAGACCATCTTCCACATCCTGTCAACAAGGGCCTGGCACTGTCCCTCCCAACTGAATCTTTCATCATAACCTCTTCGCAGTCTTTGGATTCCCTCAAGCCGCTGTGTCCTTGATTTTTGACGGATGGCTGCAATTGCCTTTGCCCATTCCTTGGGGTCATCAGAGTCGATCACAAATGACTCACCCATTGGAAGAGCACGCAGTGCTTTTCCATATTCGGAGTTTCCACTAACTAGAATGGGAAGACCAGCTGACATGGCCTCTAATGCTGTCAAACCAAACCCCTCAGTTCTTGATGGCATGATGGCCAGATCAACTTCACAAAACAACTCTCTCAATCTTTTTTTGTCTTTCACAAATGATCTCACAATCAGCTGGTTCTTTGAAATGCCAGTTTGGAGTAAGATTTCTGCCACTTCATCCTGCTTTCCATCGGAAGCACCAACGAAAACAAGGCTATAAGTACTGTCCTTCAATTCAACTATGGATTGAGCGGCAATGTCGTATCCTTTAAGACTAAAGTCTTCGAAATCACCGCGACCAAAGGTCAATACTCTGAAATTTACACCATCTTGTGCAGCATGTTCAATATCTGAAAACTCTGCAAAGGAACCTGGTATAAATTGAAAGATGTCTCGATGAGATGAACGCAACTTGCACGCGATCGCTTCTTTTAACTTGGGTCCAACGGCTACAACGAGATCTGCAATTTGACAAAGGTCAACTTCAGCTCTGTTCTTCCCTTCTCCCTTGGCAATGGCGCTTGGATAGTTCTTATGCATCGCAAGCTCTTCAGGCGCAGTGTGAACAACCTGCACCCACTTGCAGCAATGAGACTTTCTGATAATTTGCGCTTGTCTGCCAAGCTTTGCTCCATGGCCGATCACAACCTGAATGTCAAGGTCATCTGGTGGAAAACTCAACCAGTCAAGAGGATCACTGAAGGCAGGAAGGCGCCCTGCTTCCCGGATGGAAATGTTGTGACTTTTGGCAGCTCTCTTATCCTCTTCGCCACACTCAAATTCAGGTACAAGAATGGTGACTTCTACGTTTGCGTCTTTTGCCAATTGTATGGCAAGAGTTCTGTTTATTGTTGACAAGCCACCCTTAGACGACCCCCACTCATTCGCGAGAAGTGTAACTTTCAGTACCAGACGCTCTGGACGAGCTTGTGCAGTATCAGGTGATGATGATGGAGTACACGCTTCCTACATAGCAACCAAAAGTGCATATTATAAAATATAAATTTTACATCTGGGGGTTTCTACCTTTTTGAATGAAAGTTTGCAAAACATGTTAACACGTTAGATGCTATTAACCTTTTTGCTCAACCGCAAAGCAAACAGCACGTTAAAAAAGACTTGAGAAAAAGTTATATGCCCACTGCTTAATGCCTACAGGCCAATAACAATTAGTAATACATGGTAGCCAATTGACCTTATCAACTTACATGATATTAAGAACCAATGTTCGTTAAGTTGACAGCAACAAAGCTTTCTATTACACTGCAGAGAAGCTCGTGGTAGGATAAATGAAGGCATACGTTGTACATCATACTATAAGGGCTTCTGATATTTCGCGGAAAAAAAAGCAAAATTTCGCGGGATTTTCAGGGGCAAATTCGCAGAAAAATCGGCCGATTTCGCGGGATTTTAGCGGAAAAAAAGTCAAATTACGAAGGATTTTCAGAGAAAAATCGGCCGATTTCACGGGAAATTTCGGGGGGAGACTTTGCCAAGAAACAATCAGTAAAAAACAGCCGATTTCACTAGAATTTTTTTGGGCAAATTTAGCTAAAATCGATCAATTTTGCGTGGATATGACCAGCGTTTTTTAACGTTGTTTTAACAGGGATAATCATTTGCTCTTTCTACAATAGTTCGCTCGAGAAATGAGCGAATGCTAAAGCTACTAACATTATGGTTAGTACCCAGTTTTTCGCGACGTTCATGAATAAAACAGGTCTAATAGCCAAGATAAGTATTAAATATGTTTTGCCGACATGTATTTGGAAATATTTCTGGCGGATTTCGCGGTATTTCTCGTTTTTTGGGGAATTTCGCGGGATTTCGCGGAAATACCTGAATTTTGCGGGTCCGCGACCGCGCGAAATATCAGAAGCCCTGTATAACCTAACAAAGCACATGCATAGACTTTCTTGAAGCCTTTTTAGTTTAAATAGATGGCTACCTTTTAAGGACATAAGTTTTTATTATTAGTATGTGTATTCACTTGCTATATGAAATTTGCTAACAGCACTGCTAGAGATCGCATTTTACTGCTACCTACCTTACTTTCTATTTGTGAGAACCACTTTTGCCGTCCCGTAACTCTGAGTACCTCCTCAACAGGTTTCTTCTTGCAAATCAGAGGATCGCCTTGTCTTAACTCAAGGAGGTGAAGACAATCTTCATGAGAACATGCGATCTGATCATGCCTTGAACACTTTTCCCGCTGACAATACGGACAGGCGACCCGAATATGATACTGCAATCCACCTTTATAGAGATCACGTGACAAAGTTTGCAAAGTTGCCTCCACAAACTCACGAACATGCACTGCCACCTCACTTGTGCCATCCACCGAGATCTGCTGAAGTTGGTTTCTTTGCTTGATAGAAAACTTAATAAACTGCTTCTTACAAATAAGAACAAAATCATGGAAAGTTTGCTTCCCAATGACAAACCACGCTCCATTTTGGTACAGGGTAGGGGGCTGAGTTGGACCAGCCTCTGAACACCAACGGACAGATCGAGAAACAAGCCGAGTGAACAGACCATGGGGAACAGAACCGCTGACAAAGTAAACAAACAGAGGACAAGGGTCCAGCCTTGAGGGCGCCATGGAACAAAGGGAATCAGGCGAAGCTTTGAGTTGAGATGGAACAAAATATTTTTCACCTGTCTTTGAGGATGAAAATTTTGCAATCAATCCAAATTGTTCCATCAAATCCAGAATGTCTTTCCTGGCAACGCCCTCCAGAAGAAATTTGGAAAACACATGATCAAGCAGTTCCATGCTGAGAACACCGCTATCTTCGACTTCCTTCCAGTGCTTTGCAAACTTGGGGACCTAAGACGGAATAACAAGAGGAATATAAAGAAATTATATTTCGCAAGAAAGGTTTTATTCAGGATATTGTGCAAGTTAATAACATTCGCTGCTCATTTTAGGTGTTACGTTTCAGGAGAATTGTAAATAATAGCGAACACGTACGTGCTAAGTTGGTTAAGGCAAATACTGTTAGTGTCTGTTTGTATTAAGATTTTTTACAGATGGAAGGTTTTAGTCAAGTTGAAGTAGACCACCTATTTAGCGCCTTAGTTTTACCGAATTTCAATTATGGTCTGCCTGTTTATGGCGCTGTAGACTCAGATCTCACGGTGATACAAAACGTTTTGGATAAATGCTTTAAAAGGAAATACACATCTAAGAGAATGGACATTCGAGAACTTTTAGAAAAGGCAGATAAGAAGCTTTTCAAGGTACGTTCAGTGGATCCCGATTGCCAGCTTAGTAACATCATTCTGAAGAAGAAAGAAACAAAGTAACAACTCAGAAACAAAAGTACTCATCGCCCGGATATAAAGACTGATACATTTAAGAATGTTGTTGTAAATAGGCTTATTTTCAGATATAATCTTTGATCTTTCTATTATTTGTATACAGTATGTCTTATGTATTTTTAGACTCCCAACTGCTGATGTAACTTAAGATATGTCTTTTTATCTTAGGAAGAATAAAGATTGATTGATTGAATGATCATAAAACTATTCAAAATAGCTTTCTTCCAGGATCATTTTACATTTCTAAATGTTATACTAATAAAGTTTAGCAAGTTCTCTGAAAGAAATAAAGTACTTAACATTTTAAGTAAACATTCAAGGAAAACTTTCCTCCTTGTAATTTGCGGATTTGTGTTAGGACACATAAAATGGAAGTTACGAAAGACTGCCTAGAAAGTATAACTGTGATTAAATCTCTCTGGGGGCGAAAAAAGATCATAGCCTTTTAAACAGACCTCAGATTTTAAATCTTTAGAATGCTCTTTAAAGCGTCACGTAAATGCCAGAATCCTCCATTTGGTTTACTCGCCGGAAAATTCTTACGGTTCAAACTCCAGAAACTATAAAAGTGCGTTCTGATTGGTCGACATAAAGAGTCGCTGGTTTCAGCACACGTATATGTATCTTTCCACTCTTTTTTGTTGTGAGACGTTCCTTTAAGACTACATTTGAGGATAATTCTACAAGTCATGCAATGTACTTCCAGTGCACCCCTTTAAAGGTAGATTGTGCTGATGACACACACAAAAGATAGCGTGCAATGCACGTGACATAATTATTTTTGTTTGTTACGCCACGGTTTGACACCCGTGATGTCATCCAAAATGGGGGCCGTTAAAAATATGGCAAGTTTAAAAACACGTTAACTTGTATTTCTTACCATTTTCGTAAAATCTGGAATAGTGATCAGCTGCCCGAACAAGTCTATCAGCCACTTGGCACTCAAGATGACTGTGCCCCGGTGCTTGATAATTATCCTCAGGTCATGATAGAAATTCACCATAGTAGTAAACTCTTTCTCTTCATTAATGAAGCACTTCTCCTTGGCATGGGTCCGTAGCTTCGTTATACTCAGGAAATAAACTGGCTTGGAAAGCAAAGCGTGGATGACTTTCTCAAAGTTCAGCCAACTAGTTTACAAAACCAAAGAGAAAATTGATAGCTAGCTTTCAAGTACCCATGCCACGACACAGTATACCTGTCCTGACTAAAGTACAGGGCCCAGATGTGCGAAAGGTGGATAACTGTATCCACTGGAGAAATATCTGTGTGTGATCCACTTTACTTTACCTTTTTAAAACGACAATTGAAATGTACACAGTGCTTTTTGGTCAATTGGTAATAATGTTATCAAACCCTTTAGGGTAGAATATTCCTTAAGGCCAGTCAAAACTGCTTTTCATGGTGAACTTGTTTCAAACAACGAGATATTAATTTCTCATGACCGCCAGGTGGCTAATACGGGAATCACCGAATTTTTTCTGTTCTCGCTGTTTTTAACCAAAGTGAAGGATTATACAATGAACTAGCCTTTAGACGTGTTGCGGTCACGATTTTAGATAGCGTCGCAGTCACTGAGTTACTTAAGACACCTGAAACACATTGCACATCAAAGAAAAATCTTAGTTACAAGGACTGGTGAAAACAAACGCCGTACACATAACCAGTAATTTCAGTACGCTCACAGCTCAAACCTTCACAATAAAATTATGTAATATTTACTTTAATGGATTCTGTTTTTGTATAACCATTTTTTACCTTATAGGTATCCTCTCCCCAATGTAAGGCTCCTGTCTTAGCACTTCCATAATTTTGACTTGTAAAGCTTGGATGTCATCAATGTTTTCATCTTTCGCAGTAAAAACATTTCTGATCTTACTCTGAAGTAATTTCGCAGTGTTGTCAATGCTGAAGATAGGCCGCACCACATGTCCTTCATAGTCCTTACCAGCAATTGCGTTCTGGATTTCTGTTTTCATTGTTGCAATGTCTTCAAATGGTTTGTCTGCATGGGTTCCTACAATGATCACTGGGGGGCGCAAATGAGGAACCTCTTCTTCTACATCATCACAGGTTTCTCTTCTCATTTGCGAGACGCTATGCACTGTGGACAGCCACGACAACAAGTTCTCAAGATTTGTTTCTCCATTTGGGTTTTCCAACTCAACATTACGAGACCCTTGTCTCACACAGGGCTTGGCTGTGTCATGCAGTGACTTGCTGAGGTTGCACACCAAGATGTACAGCGCACGTGATGATAAGAATACAGGATGGGATGCATAATACAAGTGTTGTCCAGCAAAATCCCACAGTTCAACACTGACAACAGATTCTTCAGCCTTAAAATCTTCATCTTGTATTTCCTTTATCAACTGAACTGCTCGTTCCTTGATCTCCTCTGGAGGTGAAGTAGTATCAACCACTAACTCATGATCAGGTCCTGATAATGTGGGTTCACTAACACTGTCCTCGTTTGGATCACCAAGCTGTAGTAGAGTATGAAAAAAAAAATAATAATAACTGTTGATTCTGAGTCTGAAAGACTTAAGAGCGGCTTTCAGTAAATATCGACCCACGGTCGGCACAAGTTCAGTAGTTAGTTTTCCCAAATAACGTGTTCTTTTGTGAAAATTCGAGAAAACTCATTTTGCCCGTTCGGAGCTCAAAATCCACTTCCGGTAAAGCGAAATTTTACACAAATTTCATTGACTCGTACGTCAAACCACAACGATTTGGCAGCCTTTAAAAAACACGACTAGTTTTTATGACCCTTTCTTTCTTATAAGACGATAAATTTGTGAAAGCTGTAAAAATTTTGTGGCCAAAAAGGTATTGTTAAAAATAGGCCCTATTGACAATTCTTGCCGTTCAAAATTATAGGGATAAGATAATGCAAATTTTTACAATGCGCTATAACTTAAAATTTCGCAAATTGACTCTCTACCGGTTGACTAGGCCCCAATCTATCAGAAAATCAAAACAAATCTCTGGGCAAACGATTTTAAGTAGCCCACAAGACCTCGAGTTCAACCCTAATTTTGCGAAAAATCGCGACATTCCAATGGTTAGAAATAGCGTTACACGGCCAGTCACGCCAGCGGTGTTAACGACAGATACGCTTTAAACATTCTATTCAACGTTGATCATGTCCCAAATTCCAGCATACAATCTAGATTACATCTTTCAGTACATTTATCTTATTTAGAAGAGTCATTTTGTTTGGATACAATATCTAGTGCAGAATTGCCCAAAAGTCGCCTTTTTTGAGCGACGTAGGCCAGACGTCGACGACCTAGCCCAACGAAAACAAACTTTAAACAAGTACAGCGGTGTGTTTTACTAATTCAAGCATCCGTCAAAAGGCATAAATACGTTAAATTTAATACGGGGACAACCAATATTGACTAATTAGAACACTTTCTTTTTTCTCGCGAGTTTTCTCTTTCAAGTAATTATGTATAAGTATACATGTACGTTTCGATGTATTACTATCACTCTTCTAAAGGTACTTTGTAAGGAACGTTTCAGAAAATATTTTAACTCGTTTCGATCGACGATGAAACACCATCATCAAACACAAATCGCCAAGAACTTTCCCCTACAGCAAAACGGAAAATAGAAAAAAAAGTGGCGTTTTACACATGCTAAAGCAGGACTAGTTGCAGCGTGAGTACGAGCTTTTAAAATGTCAAATACTCCTAAATGGACATCTATAGATCACTTGCATCGGCACTGTCTGGCCCACTATGAACTAGCCTGTTCCAAGGGTAGTGGACAGTGTCGCGAAATGGGGAACGGAGGAAAACAAACGTTGAAGAGAGTAAGAGGGACAGAGTAGGAGGATCTTTCGCCCTCTCTCCCTAGCCCCGCCCCTTCGCCATGTTTTCTAGCTCCCTTTTTCTTTGCATTTTCCCAACTATCTGAAGGCCTGTTACAGGTTAAATACGTGCATTCCTTCATTTCCAACTTTTTATGGTATATATTCAACTTGAACATGGAGCACTTTTGGCGCTTTGTTATTGATCAGCAGGAACGGATTTGGTAGTACTAACTTTTCAACTGCTTTTAATTAGACGGCGTAACTGTCTTTTTTTTCTTTCTTGTTTTCTTCCTTTTATTTTTCTTTGCAGTTTCTATCGTATTTTTTTAAGACGTATTTTTCGCTTCCGCCTCCCCAGTCTAACTCAATCTCTCCCCCCACACATCCTCCTTCTCTGCTCCAGACAATAGGGAACGACCATTCGTTTTGCTTCAGACCATTCGTTCGACTATTCCGCGTTCTTGGCTTACACAAAAAGTACGGGCTTTTTTGTGGTATGAAAGTCTTTGCACTGATTGACGTTTTAGTGTCATGGAAACTCTAGCTGTAATACTGAACTGCAGATGACAGGGTAAAGGACTGAACGTTCCTTTCAACAGCGTTTGGAAAGAGAACATCGTCTTTTTCGCCAAAAAATAAAAATAAAAATAGGGAAACAAAATAGAGTATAATACTAAACCTAAGAAGAATCTTGTAACGAACGAATGGGAACACCTAAAAAGGAAAGACAGACTTGACGATTTTTCGCATCCTCCATAGCCTTAGTCTATGAAACTTAGACGCCCATGGTACCCTCTAAAACGTCTTTCCTCATGCTATATATACTACGGATAAGCCCATTGGAAGGCATTTGCTGAACGTCTGGGTGGTGGTTATGCCGCTGAGGCCTTCAAACCGTGACTCTATTTAAGACAAAAACCAGTCACTTCATTACCCTGTTTGTGAGACAAAAGACCATTTTTGATAAACCTCACTAGTCCATTTTTATTTTTCATACAGAATTAAGTAATAAAGGACACAGAAAAAAAATGAAAAATGAAAACAAGATTGACTTATGATATTTTTTAAATGTTTGTTGGTAGTCCGCACATGTAGACGGCGCATCGCCGACGTCTACCCCTTGTTCAAGGCCTTTCGTCTACAAAAATATCATGTTCAACACGCTTGGAATTGTATAACCTGTTTAAGAATCAAGGTCTGCAAAACCTTACCTTTGTCTTTGTCACAAAACCAAATTAGGTTGATACTGATGGAGAAAAGGAGGATGTTTCTCCTGTGAACCAGGTTTGTGTTTGTTGGTTTTGAATAGTGATGTTTTTTCGTGAATCCATCATTTACTTACTGCAAGAACGTCCTAACAGTAGTTAATATGAATTGATTATCGCCATCTTCATAAGTTAGGTTATAGTGACTTCCCAGTGTCCTTTGCCACAGTCTCCGTATGGAAAATATGCGTGTAACAACTGCCAGATCGTTTTCTAGCTCGTTTTCCAATGCTGGTTAAAATTTTTGACCAGCGTTTTTACACTTGTAAGTTTAGTTCCGAGAGTAGAATGATAATACTATCAACCATTTAGTTATATTTCCATGACTGTACCCATCTGCACGTAAGCTTAGCCTTTGGGTTAGTAGTGCGTGTGCAAACCAAAGTGAGTTTAGCCATATCTTTATTTATACTTTTAAGTGTTAATTAGGCCTTGAGCATAGCTTTCTCTTATTTTGTTGTTGTTGTTGTTAATCACAATGTCGCTATGTTCTTTTTTTTTGCCAGTAGTAAAGCCAAGGGGCTGGGAAGACTCAATCAAACATCATTTTCCTATACGTCCTTAAACTCACTGTTCCTTAAAAAAATGCAAGAGCATATTAATGTTTTGGATACCTCGTGCCTCCAATAATTGTGCCTCAATGTTTGAGCTCGTTAAGAATTTTCTGTCATCGAAAACAACTTTAAATGGCTGAATAATCGAATCGAAGGGTGAAGAGGAATAATTAGTTGTTCATTATTCCATTATTCTAGCTGGAAAATTTTCCTCATGCCGTTATTCCAGTAAAAAAAGAGCAAATTATCCCGTTGAAAACATCTGCTTATTCCATTATTCCGCGCCACAAAATGGTATTATTCCATTCTTACAACCAAAAAATTCCGTTATTGTTACTCCATTATTCCTCTTCATCCCCAATAGTCGAACCAGGCATGTTAAGAGCGACTGTCTGTAAATATCGACCAAAATCGACTTTTTGTGGCACAAGTTCAAAATTCGGATTTTGCTCATTTTTGGCTCATCGATAACCCTTAATGAGTAATGAAACATGCTGTAGTTAGTTTTCCCAAATAACGTGTTCTTTTGTTAAAATTCGAGAAAACTCATTTTGCCCGTTCGGAGCTCAAAATCCACTTCCGGTAAAGCGAAATTTTACACAAATTTCATTGACTCGTACGTCAAACCACAACGATTTGGCAGCCTTTGAAAAACACGACTAGTTTTTATGACACTTTCTTTCTTATAAGACGATAAATTTGTGAAAGCTGTAAAAATTTTGTGGCCAAAAAGGTATTGTTAAAAATAGGCCATATTGACAATTTTTGCCGTTCAAAATTATAGGGATAAAATAATGCAAATTTTTACAATGCGCTATAACTTAAAATTTCGCAAATTGACTCTCTACGGCTAGACTAGGCCCCAATCTAGCAGAAAATCAAAACAAATCTCTGGGCAAACGATTTTAAGTACCCGCAAGAAAAGTCGCGACATTCTAGTGATTCAGAAATAGCGTTACACTGCCCGTCACGCCAGTGTTACCGATAGATACGCTTTAAACAATTTACTGAAAGGCATATTAAAAGCCATTCGAAATCAAATCTTTTAGTAAACCTATTCTTCTCATTGATTGTCGCATTTTCTTCAGATACAACATGTAGCGTCCCCGCGGGATAGCGTCACACACTTTCATGTTCAGTTTCAGACTGGAGATTCCCCTCAAAAATGGTATATGAACAGAAAAAAAAAATGTAAAAACTAAAACTGTTTACTGAATGAATTTTTGCATTGCGGGATATTTACGAATTAAATCATCCCAAACAATGCCATTTGGTTTATAAAAACTAATTTCCTTGAAGCAATTAAAAATTTTCGACTAAGTATTGGTGCAATTATTATAGTTTCTTTTCGAAGTTTTTTACCCTTGCGGGCTCTCAAAACTGAAAAAATAGCTACGTGGATGCCAAAGAGGAGCCTATATCTAAAAAGTAGAAAAGCCTTGTGTCCTCATATCGCTATCTGCCGCTAGGGACATTTCTTCAAAAGAGCGGTGAGAGGCGGGTGTATCGAAGACTATGCGTAATATATCTTAAGCACCTTGAGGCCTTGTTAAGTGCACAGTAGATCGTAGCAATGGCAGATCGTTGCAATACCTATAATTACTTTTTAAGAGACACCAACAGCAAACTCGCTATTCTTCTACCACAGACAAATGTTAAGAAAAATAGTTTTTCTGGAGCAGTCCTTTAGAATAGCGCCTTCCTATATATTGACCAGCGGCAGGCGAAGTCCCTGGGTTTTGAGGGCTGGCTGCAAACAATTCTTCCGGAGATCTACACGATACTTACGTAAAGCAGACTAAGGCTCTCAACCTGTTTCCTATTCTTGTTATCATCACTTTGAAGTACTGCTTCAATTCTTAACTCCTTCATGACAAAGACACGGCTAACTGGAATATCAGTATACATCCTTTCCGCCACCACCTGTGCCACATCTTTTAAGCATCCTAGCAATCCTTGCTTTCTCTCATCAATAGGTTGCCAATTCCTAACTTCACCAACGTGCAACTGAAATTTTGAAGGATCCACTTCAATTCCATCCGTGCTTTTTTTCTTTTGAATTAAATGGTAGACCAATGAGAGACTTCTTCAAACTTGTTTTTCCTGCCCGATCCTGCCCAATAAGCAATACTCGACCACGGTAAACATTAACAGCTCCATCTTTAAGAGCTCTTTGATAAGCGAGCTGTGCTTTTTTTCTCCGCGTGCTTCTATTTCTAAAGGAGCTAGTGAAAACAAAAAAAGAAACCGAATGCTTATTAAAGGTAAGTAATGTCTTAGAGGTTGCGTAGTTCATTGGCTTCTATTTTACTTGACTGACCTAGGAGGTCAAGGGGGGAGGGGGATTAATTTATATCAGAGGATTAGTCCTATACTAGTGTTAAATATCCTTCTTGTAATCTTTCAGTACGGTCTCTTAAGTTATTATTAAAACAAATCTATGGTAAATATAATTTTACTGAATTTCAAATGTGACAGATAAAATTAAACGTTAGTTATTTTTGATACTGTTAAACAATCCACCTGCTATTTTAAACTTGTTTTTTTACTGCGCTTACTTCAAGTCTCCATGCATGTTCAAAACACCATGAATGGTGCGTAAAAATTAATGTTGTGTTTTGAGTCACCAGAATTATAAGTGTTGTTTGCATTCATGTGAAAGAACCTGTTCCTCTAAAAGAAACAATTACTCTGAACATCAACAAACTAACTTCGTTCCAATAAGAGCCCAATCTCTAATAACCACCCCTATTGCATAAGCACCCTCGTTCCAACCCGGGGGTTTTGGGTTAATTTTGGTTAGGTATGTGCCGCTGGCCTCTCAAAACCCCGACTCCATTATAGTCTATTCTGTGGCCATATTACCACATCTTAGTCACTTTTGGAAAAAAATAATTTTCGCAATCCCAGCTTAGTCACATTCTGTTTATACATGTACCTTACAAAGCCTTTTAACTAGAACATCCTGAGATGAACTGCCACATTTTTGTTAAACTTGGTGTAAATCTTTCTATTTTTAAATCCTTACATACCTGAATTTTCTGATCCCCAAAATCCTGAAAATGTGCGAACCCGTTCCAGCAACTCTTATAAAAATGTAACCCCATAATAGTCAATCCAGTCGTGAAAATGCGGCCCAATCCAGCAGCACAAACCCATTAGCCTACTACTAGGAAGTACCCCCCACCCGGGCATTCCAAGCGCCCCAATACCAATAAGCGCCGCTATTCGGTTACCGACTATTGTTCCATCCTATCGCGACAAGGTTGACCCTAATTCACGCAACCAGAGTGAACGGCCACGAACGCTCTCGATTGTTAAAATCAACAAAGGGCCTACAGCACCAAAGATAGTCCCAAAGCGTATGCTTTTGAATGCCCAGTGCCTGGCAAAACCTGTTGCAGCTCCGACTCTTTATGCTGAGCTTAGTAACAATAACATTGATACCGTAATTCCTCGAATAATAGCCGGCGGCGATGACTATTTTCTTTCCACAAAAAGGAGTCAATTATTTGAGGGGGCGATTATTTCAAATATTGGTCACTGGAGGTCGTGCCCTAAATGTTTTGTTTTATTATTCCATTCAAACCGAAAATTGATAACATCAAATAAACTGGACTTTTTAATTGTTCCAAATTTGGTTATTTGACTAATTTTCAATGTCAATATCCTCGGCGTCCGAGCTTGAATTAGTTTTGCTTGATCAGGCTCCACTGCAACTTGAAAGGGAGGGGATAAAAAGAGAGAAGATGGCGAGAGGGGTGGGGGTGGGTGATTATTCGAGGGAGGCGATTTATGGAGGGACGGCTATTATTCGAGGACTGTTTTGTGGGAGACATGGTTGAGTATGACAATCCTGTCACATCTGAATTGCCCAGAGGGCTATGTCATGGTGAGCAAAGATCGAGCTGCCTCGCTGATCGGTGGTAGTGTTGCTATGATTTGAAGGAATAATTGGAAGGGTAAAGCGTTGAATGTCACTGATAGCTTGGTATTTCAGTCCTTAGTTGGAGACCATGTCGCTTTGTAGACAAGATGACCTCGTATAGCAGACGAAAATTGGCCTTCATAAACAAGCTTCGAACTCCAAAACAAGGGATTGTCAGTATAAGCCATGATCGTACACGTTTGCTAATTCTTGCTCATAAGGTGCCCTGCCCCTGTTTTATGGTTCAAGAGTTTTGCTTCGCAACATTAAAGAAATAGACGCCCTGTTTCGAATAAGCGCCCTCATTTGAGAAACCATAACTATATAAGCGCTTCGGGCGCTAAATCGAGTCATTACGCTAAAGAATTTAATGGCATTGTCTTTTGTTTAAATTATTCAGTAGTTTGTTTCCTCCTCTCTAAGCGTTATGCTTTTGAAGTGGCGCAACGGTTTGGCTGCCTCAGTGATCCTGGAGGCTACGTGCTGGGCAGGTTGGGAAGACACCTGGCCGTCCATGTGGGGGGGAGGGGGGGTTAGGCAATTCACTTACACTATTGCCGTGCATGCTGACAGGGAAAACAACAAAAACCAACTTGCAAAACAAACCTAAGTGAAGCTAAGTGTGACTTATAACTTTGTTAAATGGTATAACAAATTTCAGACCAGTTATAGTTTAGATCACGAGAAGTGCTTTCTCAGGCTTAAACACAGCAAACCAAGGCATCTTTCCTAATTTGAAACTTGAACAGCGAGCTTACCGAACAGCTCAAAACTCTTCATCCTTAACGGTCTGTTTATTGTTCTGTAACAATAATTTTTTCTATTTAATACAAATTGTGTTCAGCGACCAAACTTCCATAATTATAACATGATAATATTACATCATCCATTAAGTGAAAAATGGCTTTAACCCTCTGCGGTTGTGTTTTCACTGAGATAATTTTAGCTAGACAAAGCCAGAAAAGTCCAGAAATACAGTTAAAACACCTCGTCTTGTGTTAGGCGAGTTAAACATGCTCACTGTTTTTTCAGCTTTATGACCTAAAAATTACGCAAAAGATGGTATAACTTCACTGTAATTTTCAGGGAGTTATAATAACTCCTCTAGTGGGGCTAATTTAACTCCTGACAGTGGAGTTATTTTTCGTGGAGTTATTTTAACTCCAAAAAGGAGTTTAAAGAACTCTTTTTCAGGAGTAAAAGTGACCCCAGATATTGAGGAGTTAAAATAACCCCAAAAAAGGAGTTATCCTGTACCTAAAATTTTTACTCCACTTTCAGAGTTAAATTAACTCCAAAAAGAGTAAAAACAACCCCTGTAAGGAGTACAAGTAACCCCATTTCGGAGTAGTTTTAACTCCAAGACTGGGAGTAAAAAGAACTCTTTTTCAGGAGTAAAAATGACCCCAAATTCGGAGTTAAATTAGGAGTTAAAATAACCCCAAAAAAGGGGTTATCCTGTACCTAAAATTTTTACTCCATTTTTGGAGTTATAATAACTCCCTAAAAATTACGGTGTTGTCCTGATAAATACCGCAGCCAATCGCGTTACGCGTTGTGACAGACGCCTGCCAAATGACCGGCGAAATGAACATTTTACTAGAGGTTGTAGTGAAGGGCTACCACCAGTGCCCATTTACAATAAGGACGGGTGAATCTTTTGTCCTCGATGAATAAATCGACAATTAATAGGTAAGACTTTTAATTACTAATTCGTAGCCAGTAGTAGCGCAAACGCATCTGAAATCATTATTAAAGGATTGCAATTGACAATCGATAAAACGGATGAAAATTGATAACAATTGATACTCACAACTCTTTCGATCTTCGACATTTATCGATTACCGACACTGCACGAAAATTGGATTCACACAACTTTACTCGGTGTAAATATGGTGCAAAAAAGTGCAAACTAGGGGGAAATTAAAAGCAAAGATGGTAAATACCGCATTTGCTTGCAAGTTTACGTGGGGGTGTAAATTTTAGGGCAAATGCGGTATTTACCATCTTTGCCCTTTATTTAACCTTAGTTTGCACTTTTTTGCACCAAATTTGCACTGAATAAATTTGGTGTAAATCCAATTTTTCGTGCACATATTGTGTTCAGCGGCCAATCTTCCATAATTATAACATGACAATATTACTTCATCCATTATGTGAAAAATGGCTTTAAGACTCTGCGGTTGTGTTTTCACTGAGTTAATTTTAGCTAGATAAAGCCAGAAAAGTCCAGAAATACAGTTAAAACACCTCGTCTTGTGTTAGCGAGTTAAACATGCTCACTGTTTTTTCGGCTTTATGACCGAAAAATTACGAAAAGTTAGACAACCACGCGAGATGGTGCAACTTGTCCTGATAAATCAGAATCGCGTTGCGCGTTGTGACAGACGCCTGCCAAATGACCGGCGAAATGAACATTTTATATTACTAGAGGCTGTAGTGAAGGGCTACCACCAGTGCCCATTTACAATAAGGACGGATGAATCTTTTGTCCTCGATGAATAAATCGACAATTAATAGGTAAGACTTTTAATTACTAATTAGTAGCCAGTGGTAGTGCAAACGTATCTGAAATCATTATTAAAGGATTACAATTGACAATCGATAAAATGGATGAAAATTGATGACATTTGTAAAAATTGATACTCACAATTTTTTCGATCTTCGATATTTATCGATTACCGATATCAATCGCTTAATTAATATCGTTTAAAATCGAATAGAAGCCATTATTTCTCGACTAAAGAGTTTCATCGATTTGGCACGGCATGTTAAGAGCGACTGTCTGTAAATATCGACCAAAATCGACTTTTTGTGGCACAAGTTCAAAATTCGGATTTTGCTCATTTTTGGCTCATCGATAACCCTTAATGAGTAATGAAACATGCTGTAGTTAGTTTTCCCAAATAACGTGTTCTTTTGTTAAAATTCGAGAAAACTCATTTTGCCCGTTCGGAGCTCAAAATCCACTTCCGGTAAA